ATAAATAATTTATTATTGTAAAAACTTCTATAAATAATGTATTAATATAAACAATAACAATATTATAGGTATATTTTATTTCCAATCGATTTTTGTCCATTTTATTCAGGAATGATTTAAACAGTATTGTAATTAAACAACGAGCAAGATATATTATCTGTGACGGTATTTCACGTACAAGACTTCTTAATTCGATTAAGATACTCTTCTTATAATTTATACGATTCCGATATCAACTTTCTGGCATTGGCAGATTTATCGCGTACCAATCGCATAATTTTAATCCTCTCATATTGGTCGTACTAAATGCATGACACAAACGAACCCGGATTTCTATTGTGTACATTCAAGTCGTACTGTACATTGGATCGTCATATATAATATAAATAGCAGCTGCAATCTGCTACATAACTAATTGACAAGTTTAATGCCCTGGATAATACATAGGTTTTGTTATTCGGATATCGTCGAACGCAGAGTCAAATCCAATCGCATATTACGTTAATATTTGTGCGCAATTACTGTACCATATTTTCTTTCGGCTTGCATTTTTTAAAATATCTTTTTGTTTTAAAATAATAATTTAGTTGCACGGGGGTAAAAATAAAAAATGATCTTGATATATTTCACTATTGCAATATATTGACAAATGTGTATGCATAATAAAAATAAACGAGTATATACTTTATTTAAATCATTATTATAAGTAAAACGTTATTTAAATTGCGTCATTTGTATCTATTTTCCGTAATATTAAATACATAGTTGACGCTTAAGCTGTAAAGCTGTAAAAAAATGATACTTTATTTGTTCTTTGTGATCTCTTAAAAAAATTTTTTAATATGTTCTAATTGCTTATTAATTAACTGAGACATAAACTAAGAATAAACAAAAATTATTTTATTGGAAAAAATATAAAATTTTTTAATTATTTGCCATTTTGCATACGAAGGATCTAGGAGATAAAAAAGATCTAGGAGTTTAAGAAATTTCGCTTGTTAAAGATTAATCTAATTATCGATTCTTTGATGACGAAATCTGGCAAGCATGATTTTCGTTTCATTGATAGAGGCATTTTTTGTGGAATTACCATAGGAATTACTCGATTCTAATCATGCTAATCGCCACTATGCATAAAAATCTCTTGGAAGAAGCTGTCTCGTAAAAATGCGCATAATTATTGTGTAAACGATCTAACTATCTAAATTGCGAAAATATTGTTTCTTCGAAATTTCTAAACACTTCTGTCAACATTTGTAAGATTCCTTTTAAGAGATATGCAAAAGATTTGTGCCACCATCATATCATTATAAGCCAAATCTAGTACCGAAATACATGTATTTAAGGAAAAAAAGTTTATTTAGTTATATAAAAAATTCAATATTTTGCTTATTAAGGTAACATGCATAATAACATGATAACAGTTAACGATACAGATAATCAATTTTCAACAGAAATTTAACAGAAATTATTTAAATCTTTTTTAATAATTGTAAAAAAATTAATGTTTTCCGTGGCTAAACTTGTGAACATATTTGGAACTTAAAATGAGATAAATATATGTTTGATATTTGACGAAAGCGAGAAAAAGAGTTTTAGTGCAGTCTAGTTCAGGAATAAAAAAAAATTTAAAGAATTTAATAAGCATGTCCTTTACAGTTCACTTTTTTTTCATTTGTTATTTGTATATTTTATGCTGTCTTTTCTCTTTTCATTTTAGTGTATAGTTTATAGTGAATCACTTTCCTGTAAATAGCGCAATAATTTAAAACACAGTTCTTAAAGAACGTATTAAAAAATAATTTTTATTAAAAATAATTATTGATATAAATTCCATCGTTTTATTACACAATAATTATGATTTGTATTGCAAAATCTCCTTAGCGCATATCCGAACGTTATTTTTGAAATTTTTGCGAAGCGTAAAGAATCTAGGGAATGCTGCGAAAACAAGGTGGCTCAACGACATTGGAGGCGTTTAGCGATTTTCTGTCAGTAAACGGCACTTTAATGACGCAGCTTGCGAAGAGTTGATTCGCGGAAAGTATAATATTTAACGACTCTTTCGCGGTAAAGTTGGATCAAGTCGGACTTTCAATAATCGACGAGATTAAATCTCGTTTTGAGAAGATAATTTTCAAGCAACGTTAAAAATTGAATTTTAATATACTTAAAAAGATCAAAAATAAATTCAAATCATTTAATACAAGTGTGTATAGTCTTTAAAATTTTACTGAATAGTTTGCGAATTTCATTATTTAAAATATTTTTTAATTTTATCAAACTTTTCTCTCTCTCTCTCTCTCTCTCTCTCTCTCTCTCCTCTTTTTTTTACATACTACAATATAATTGATTAAATAGTTGTATTTAAAAATAAGTGTTTGCTAATTTTTATTTCAAATTTTAAATTTCTTATTTTGAATTTATTTTACATTTCTTATATTGAAAGTACAAACTGATGAAAATAAAATAGCTAGGCATGCGTCTTACCCGATCAAGCATACATGGGCGATCGATTCATTCGGTAATCGATGGCTCTATGGATTACAGACATGATAGATATTTATGCTGATTGCGTACGCAACCGGTCGCTACCTATTCAGAATAAATCGCTAATTAAGCTGAACCATTGATAATACGCGTGAGTTTTTTTGATATGATACCGATTTCAGGACTGATAAATTAATTTCCTCATCTTATTTCTGTCAAATCGAATAAATCATGTAATATTATTTTTCATTTAATGTTGGTGAATGTCTGGTACAAAACTATATATATATATATATACTATTTTAATCATATTTGGACATATGTGTATTTTAACATAATAATGTACTATATACACATACATGTGTGTATATAATATTATTGTGATTAAAATGCTATCTTTATTATTTTGCATATGTTAATGCAAGAACTTTTGATCATTTTTTTAATACATGTTCATATCGTAGTTCAGTTAAAATCATCAAATTTAATTTTTAATCATTTTTAAATCATTTTTAATGCATAAAAAACAAGCATATCAAAATACTTTAATTAAAAAATATAATTTATTATTATCTCTCAAGTTGCTTCTTTCAATCATTTTCTATCGAGCATAATATAAATAAAGTTTAATATACATATATAATTGAAAACAAAAATATATCGTTAAAATATTATGCATTAAAAATCTAATCTTTCGTGTAATTATATATACAACAAGATTATAAATTTTTATGACTTCCCTTTAATCGTCTATTTTATGATTTAAGAGACTCTATAAGCTCTAAGCGTAATTAGTTTCCTCTAAAAAGTCTTGTAAAAATTTGAATATACGATAACACTGAAATGATTATTAGATGATTCCATGATCATATCACAGCAATTTCCAGAGTCTTTCGATTACCTGCGATTAAGTCGCATAAGGTTTATTAGAAATAGCAATACAAATCTTTTATGAATGAACGAGAAGCGAATGTTAATTCGCGCGAATCCACGCTTTCCGTATAATTCCCGGCGAAGCATTCGGAGGTTGCTTTTTTTGCTACGATGAGCTTCTTTGCGTAAGGGATCTCCACGATTCCTTTTGCTGAACCTCCGATGGTCTCTGGGTACACGAAGCCATTAATATTATTACCAAGCGAGAGCGTGTGGGTATCATTACGCGGACGATGGAAAAAAAAACGACGGTCGAAAGGAACGCCGAGAAACAAGAAAGCGTGGAAGAAAGAGAGAAGGAAGGAAAGACGAAGACAGTCAGAGAAGGAGGTAGCGGTGGTATTCTCAAGTAAGAGCATCTTTATACACTCGACTTGAGGAGGCTCCTCGATTACGCGAGCATTCGAAATTTTCGGAGCTCTTCCGACACCGCTGGGAATCACCCTCAAAATTGATGTTGCCTGGCCACGCAATCTCGGGCCGTTCAGTCTGCTCGATTTTTCTCGCCTGCCTCGTATCATCCCTCTTTCTCCTTTCAACCATCTAAAAACAAGGAAGGAACATATTTATTATACTTGTCGTGACCCGGGAGCAGTGCATGGGATCCATGCGTTCGTCGCTGCGAATACTCACGCTGCGTACATGACGAGAAAAGTGGTATACCGCGTAAAGATTAATATTCTGCAAAATAGAGGAGCGAAGAAAAATTTTGGCCTCCGTGAGGTTTGATGATTTATCGCGTTGTAGCCTACTTGGAATGCCCACGAAATAAATTTGCCACTTACTACGTAATCGTTAAAAGACTAATAAGCTATGTCAATTAGGAGATATGTCTACTTTTCATACTTTATACTCACATCACACTATTCGTGAATATATAAATGTATATATATATATATATA